TGCTGGCCGAAATTAACGCTAAAAAACCATCCTACAGTCGGCACGCGCGGCTCACTGTCGATGGCGCACTACCTAAGAATATGAATATTTGAGTCCAACTCTACTTGGTCACGTCCGCGTTTTTGTAGGTTATATTAAACCTACTAAAAAACTTTGGCCCTCTACTTGATTAGAATTGGATTTCGATTAGAATTGGATCACTTTGTTTTTGTTCCTTCATACACTTCACGCGCACGTTGCACAAATCTTTTAAGTCGCGCGCGAAAAATAATTATAAATGCAACGTGTATCACTATATCATTATCAATACTATTATTTAATAGGTTCATACACGTTTTAGGTTTTTACGGTTATAAGGTGACCTGGCCCTGGTGACCGTGAAAATACAACAATTGTATAATAGTAGAGGCTCTTACGGGCATTGTCTGCTCGATACGTTAGGGACCCCAGATACACCTTACTAGACGTATTTTTGACCGTAGAATCGATTGAAAGTGGTTTCAAGATGATTGGACTGATTGTTCTGGGGTAAAATCGCAAAAAACCGATTTTTGGGCCAAAAATAGGCCAAAAAACCATGTTTTTTGATATTTTGAGCAAGTTAATTTTGTTGGCATGTCGGCAAAACTTGCATAAAGATAGCTAAAAGACAGCCGCACAAGATTGTATAAAAATAAAACAAATCCCTCTATTTGTTCTGAGGTAAAAATCCAAAAAAGTGTTAAAAATTTTGACTTTTTTGCTTGAAGTTTGAATAATTTTTTGCAGTTGTATTAAATCAACCCAAAAATAGTCACATCGTGTTTGCCTAAATTTTTCCTTTCCGAGAAGTACCCACTTCATATACTTTATCGAAGTTTGAATATTGTCACTCCGCAAGCGTTTTTGCCAAATTTTCGACGCGCACTACGCGCAAAAGCATTTAGTTGTTATCAATTGGCACCCGCGCGTTCATCATAAATTTCAAACAGCTATAACTCAGCGAGATTATGTCCGTTCTAGCTCATATTTTCACACCAAATAGAAAATGATGTGATCTTATTGCTGACAAAATATGAATATAATTACTCTATTTGCCTTAGAGTAATAGACTGTCAAAGTTTAAAACGCGCATTGGTATAGCACGTGACTAATAAGGCCAAATTTATACTTCTTAACATATTATCGATCCTTAGACATCATACTATTGTGTCCAATTAGCGGTTAGGTCTCTAAACTCGTAGCAGAAAACACGTCTTTTTGCCCGTAAGAGCCTCTACTATAATTGTACCTCAACCCTAAAAATCCCAATTTACGTGTTAAACTGGCAAGATATGAGGTTAATAAATGCGCGCGCGCAAACAAAACCAGGATGGATCACAAAATTAAAAAATAACGTACGCATTGCCATTACGTTCGCAAAGTAAAAATGATAGTTTGCGCGGCGCGTCGAAGCAGCGAAGTCCTCCAAAGTTGCAATGCATACAATTTTTAATTATTTGAATCGGCATAAGTCTAGGGGGTGCACGATAAAAATAAAGTCTGACTTAGCTAACCAATTTTTGTTAAAATTGGATCAAGGGCCGGAAGGTTACTCAGCTCAATACGAATTTGTTTCAAGAATTTTGTGCTGGCCGAAATTACCGCTAAAAAACCATCCTACAGTCGGCACGCACGGCTCACTGTCGATGGCGCACTACCTAGCTAGCATAACCGTAATTGTTACCATATATAACTATAGCTATAACTCTATATTTGCATTTTATTACTTAGCTTGCTATACTATAGTTTATTTTGCCGTTCCCTGAGAAAAGGCAGTAAGTCCATTTCTACTAGCCTTCTCTGAGGGAAGTTTTTCTGTTCCCTGCGAAAAAGCAGTAAGTCCAAACTTTATTTGCAGTTTTTATAGTTTATGGCCTATAAATTTCACAGTTATCCCAAAACCTTCCTTGAGAAAAGGCAGTAAGTCCATTTGTACAGCCTTCTCTGAGGGAACTTTTTCCGTTCCCTGAGAAAAGTCAGTAAGTCCAGACTTTATTTACAGTTTTTATAGTTTTTGGCCTATAACTTCCATGCACAGTTTTAGTTATATTGAAATAATTCTTATGTGGTCGTAATCAGCTCCGCTCCTACTGAATCGCTCGCCCAAATTTTAAGAAAATTCTTCATCTTGTGAAAAGGCCCTTTGTTAATTGGGTGTGAAATTGATATGATCTGAATCGGTGTATTTTTGGACGCTGATTCCGAACATGACGTAGGGTAAAAATGCTTCCACGGATCGAGAGTTATGGGCAAAAAACCGTTTTGGTCACGTGACAGGCTAGTAAAACATGAATTCGATTGTTTAGGGCTCGGGTTAAGGTTATGGTTGTGGTAAGGGTTACGTACGTTATGGCCAACTTCGCGGGGTTATGGTTAGGGTTATATAGTGTTGGGATTATATCTAGCAGTTAGCAGCAGTCAGCAGCAGTTAGCAGCAGTTTCTTTGCACTTTAGTCTCCCTGTGATTAGGGTTTATGTAAAACCGTTTTGTACGTTTTGTACGGCTACTAAACCATGAAAACGAAACTCACGCGAGCAAATTAGTAAAAGCCAATCAGCTCAGCAAGAAAAACAATTTGGCACTAATATTTCGAAATTTAAAGAAATATTATTTTCAAAATTTTTGAACCTGAACACAAGGCCAGGGTCCCCCTGCCTAGTGTGAAATATCGAAAAATTTTGTGCTTTAAATGATGTATGTTCAAATATTTTTTCCCAAAATAAATCGTCTGACAAAGCTGAATATAATATAATGATTGATGCTAGGCTAGCTGTAAATATTAATCCAAAATATTCGATATTTAAAAAGAAATTATCTATTTTTCGTCAAATTATTACACACTTGCAATGCACAGGAGGTTCACATAATTATACTGCAAGGATATGATCAAGAATATAGAAAAGTTTTATTTTTGTGTTGACTTTATCTGAGGAAAAATGAACTTACTGCCTTTTTAGAGAGGATTCGGCGCGGTTGAAATCGATCCTGATAAAAGACAGTAAGTCCGCAATTTCCTCAGAAAATGATGTAAGTCCAATGCAAATAAGAAAATAGTTCAGTTATTCTGAAGAAAAATGGTTTTTATAGATCAGTGTTGGTGAATTTATGCTTTTAAGCATGTTTAGGACATACGACAATAATTTATTTACGCATAAATACTTACAGTTACTGCCTTTTCTCAGGGAACAGCAGTATAACCAGTATTCATTTATTGCTCGAGCTTATTTCATGTCACAAATTGCTTTAACCAAAGCCCTTGTGCTTGCATGGCTGATGGCATGCTCCTCCTGTGAGTGGCGCGCGCCCGCCTCCCGCGCGCGGCCTTCTTAATTGTGTCTGTGAAACGTTTTAAGTTAACTTGAAAAGTATTACATGGTATCCTGAAGTTAACTTGAAAATTGTGCTACAATGGTATCCTGAAGTTAACTTGAAGATCAAAGTACTATATATCAATTAAGGTATCCTGAAGTTAATTTTAAAAGTACTGAAACATGAAAGGAAGATCTCATTAATTTGGTCCGAGAGCAAATTCTTTTTGGTCCGCGTCCGAGAGAAAATCCTACTGCCACTCGGAATTGTTAAATCCTATCTCCGCTAGGCAGGATTAGCGCTCGGATCCGATTAGTTTTTAATTTCCAATCGATCGGTCCGAGAGCAATTCCTATCGCCTCTCGGAATTGACATATCCTATCGCCGCTCGACAAGAAGCTTTACCTTACTGGGCGGCGCTCAGCCTGTCATTCCGCCGAATCTCTATTCTACTTCTTTGATTATGAACATAATAGCCTGGGGTCCCCAGCTAGGTAAACTTTACCTGGCACGCCAGTCAGTGGGGATGATGATTGATCACTCTACACTTTGTAGCGCGATGCGTTACTGTGCCGCGCCGCGCACTTAATAAGGCTTCTCACTCTGGCTAGATCGGCGAGATGCGCTACTGTGCTGCGCCGAGCTGCCATGAATTGACATCGTCAATTAATCTACACTCGACTGTCACGTGACTTTTTCAACCCGTTCTCTAGCTGGTCCTGAACGACTATTCGAAACCTTAACCCTCTAAATTTAATCTGATCCTAACCCTAACCCTCACCCAATCCTTAACAAAAGCATATGCTATCCTCTAAAATGCCAGTCCCTCACCCTGTGCGCCACGCTCTTTTCAAGCTTCCTGGACACGTGAGAGAAGCGAGCAGTAGCTTGACTATCAGTATCACTAGCAAGCTAGGTAAGTGATTTATATAACTATATGTACATAAATTAATTTTGAATATGGAATACATTGCAAATGATTTGATCTCAATTAATAAAGTTTGAAAGAAGTTACTGCCATGCAATGTGCACAATTCGGGAGTGTGTGCGCATTGGCAGTCTGGAGTAATAATAAATAAACTGCGCATTGTTTCTAGTCGACCAAATAGCTACTTATATCACTACGCATATCTTTAAGTAGATATGCATTATGCCCAGCTTCTTTTTTCCATGCTGTGTGATGATGCTCACATTTACATTCATCAGTAATAAAAATGTACATGTGTGCTAAATCACTTTACACTCGATCTAAGTCTAACTTAGCTTAGAGTTAGAGATTTCCCAAAAGGTCTGTCCCTCGAAAATTGAAACCAACTTCAATCTATATATTTTGAACGGTGATTTCGAATCACCTTAAAAATTCAATTGACATATTAAGGTTAAAATGCTATTCTGGTGGCGAGAAGAATTATTATGCAGATACAACGAATAATTTACATTTTACCATAGGGAGGGACGTTAAAACCAGCAAGATAGTATGAGACAAGTAAAACGCCATTTTAGGACTCGAGAAGAGTTAGGACTCTCCATTCGGTTCAATATTTTTATAAAAACGTACACATTTAGTGCAATTTGAATTATGCTTTTTGTTTCTAGATTTAGCATAAACATGGTTTTGAATATTTAATCATCTATAGCGAAATTAGTCAGCGAAGTGAGAAAAACAAATAGACATTTTAAAATGATGAATTCAGCAGTAACAGAAGTTTTGAACAAACGGAAGTCATAAATTCAATCGACATTCAATAAATAAATAAATAGCATAAGGGTTTAAACAATTTATCATTAAATTCTTTGCAGTGAAACTGTAAATATAAATTAACGTTTACAGCAGAAATAAGCTAATGCTAAAGCTAAAGCTATTGCTATAATAAAATAACTAGTAAAATTGCAATTGTTAAACATAATTGCAGGGGTCAGAATAAAGAATAAATTGTGGTATAACTTCCTCAAAGTTTTGAATTTTGAATTAATCTTCAAGTTAAAGTATTTATCAAATTGTTCTCTATCAAATTTTCTCCGTACACAATCTCTGTGTTAAAACAAGAATGATAAAATTAAAATCATAAAATTGAATGATCAAATGGGCGCCAAAATCAAAGCTAAGGAGTTGCACGAACCTACATTTGAATTTAATTATAATAATACAAATAATTGGCTATGATCAGTTAAGATACAGGGCGCCCCACCATAAATTCATTAGTGGGACGGAAAACTACGGCACAGCAGGAGACCTTATAAAATGTATTGCTAGCCTATTATTTAAGATATAAACACTAATAGTATTTATAAGTAATCATTACTATCTATCATAAAATCATAATAATTATCTGACCATCTAATCAATGATCAATAAGTTAGTCTGGAGGGCCCTAAAAAGAGCTCTTATTTCTTAAAGCTATCTGTTTAACTAAGCTATCACTCTCTGTATATAGCTCATGTTCGTCGTTATCTCTCTCCTATGCACAATGTGCAATACACGTGCATTGCACGTGTATTGCACATCTGCCTATAGCTATCTGAGATAGTATCTGAGATAGTATCTCGAAGCTGAGAACGTTCTACGCTAAACACATCTGATACAAAAACTGTTATTCTGACACTACTCTCATCCGTCAAAGAGAGAAGCTAAAGGGTCACTGGTAACATCTCCGTCCTTCAAACACCCACACTCCAGCGTAACGGAAACTGCCTTGAACTTGATCTGGTCCCCGCAGATAACCCTCTCAGGTCGGATATCCACATCGGTGGGCTTGTTGGAGTATCCCATCTCACAGAGCTCTGTGCACAGGAGGTACCGGACAGGTTGGGTCGTTTGGCAGCTTCCTATTATCATGTACGTCTCCGTCTGGGAGAAGGTGTTCAATGTTAGTTTGTGAGGGCTGTCGGGGCAAGAATCAAGATAACCAAGTAGCAGTAAGTTGTAACCGACATATAATGTTCCTTCAAAAGTTTCATAACGAAAGAAAAATCAGAAATAGGAAGGCGAAATCGTGCCAGGGAACGCTACAGTTTTGGCAGGTAGTATATGAGTATATGAAAACTAAATATCAATTAAATATGTTAACTTAGAATCTAAGTTAAAACTTACCCATTTATTAACGTTGTTATTAAGGTTATAAGGGTCGCCACAGGGTTTGAGGTAGCAGTGTGCTGTCTCTGTAACTGCCGGGCAGCGTACTTTGCCTGAAACACGTCTCAATTCTAAGGAAGAAGAAAGTAAGAAATGTTCTGCTAAAAGTACGTAATATGCATACACGTAACATTACGTACCTTGAAAATGAGATCTTTTAAGAATTACAACTTATTTGCATAAAAAGAATTGGAATTTTTCAAACCTTTGAGTTTGTTTTCGCTGATCTCGAGATGCCTCTGAATGAAGCCACTTCCACAATCTTCTGAACAGTCGCTCCATCCGCTCCAAGAACTGCCAGTTACACAGTCTGGCAAATATTTTTGGTTATTAAGTTACACAGACTGAAAAAATCGAAGAAATTGAATCAAAGTTCCTCAAAATTTATAGGACAGCAAAGAATCTAATATGTAAAGACGAAAGAGTTCGAAGTTGCACTGAATATTGATTCAGTGTTCCTCAACATTTAAAGAAAAACAAAGTCACAAAGAATCTAATATGAAAAGATGAAACAATTAATTGTTTTAATTAAACTGTGAAAGCTTACCCTCGGGGCAGTAATCTCCCTTGGGGAGGCTGCCGGAAGCGTAGGAGTATTGTCGGAGTCGGAGGATGTCAACTTCGTTAATGCTAGCAAAACTGTCGACTTCTGGCTGAGGAAACACGACGGAACTGAAATAACCACGGTTAGAAGACATATAGTGTATTAAAACCTTTATATTAATATAGTTATAGTTATTATCTACATTATCGTATTATAACTTCTTTGGACAGTGTTCGGCTATTGCCCAAATAAGAGGTCAATATTTCCAGGACTACTACAGTACTACCTCTCCGTCAACGACATATTCGACAACCAACACATCACCACGATTGTCAATTTCACAAACCGCACCAAACATTTAATTATGCCGGAAGAGCTGGATCAGACCGGGGTGACATAGAGTAAACTCATATAATGTCTCGTCTCATCTTACTTTTCAAAACCCAGCTGGCACTTAAGCGTATCATTTTAACTCATGTCACTTTTAACACCATCCTCCACCATTCACTCTGATTTCTCCGGCAACCTTCCCCAGAGTTGCCACACCCCAGAGGTAGGCAGAGCATCTCAATGCTATCCTCTCGTGGGCTATCTTGGCCAAGCCTCTCTTTAAAAATCCTTTATCTCTACCATAATCAGTTCTTAAACGCATCTCTTTATCTTTTACCCGCAACTTTCGATTGAGCACCAACATCAGATAATGGCTGATCTAGAAGTGTTGTCTTCTTAAACCACACCCTTTTATGCTTTTGTTTTTCAATTTTTCAACTACATGTACTAAATGATGCCAACATGAACAACAACTGTAAATTTAACACCGATGAACTGATAAATGTTTACATAATTAACTGCAGCTGTTTGCTCACTTGTATTGAGATGGATCCCGACTATCTGACAGATAAAAGACCAACTCGGCTCCTGTTGTTAGGTCTCTCTTACACGCATTATTCACTGAAATATAAGGTGTTATTTAATTTCATTATTTAATTAATTGTTTAATTAACATTTCAAAATAATCACAACACTAAAAGGTAATGACAAGTTTATGAAAAGTTCATGACGGGTGTATGACAAGTTTATGACACGTTTATGACATATTTATGTCAAGTTTATGACAAGTGTATGACAAGTGTATGACAAGTTTATAACAAGTTTATGACAAGTTTATGACAAGATTATGACAAGAGTATGACAAGTGTATGACAAGTTTATGATAAATTTATGACAAGTTTATGACAAGTTTATGATAAGTTTATGACAAGTGTATGACAAGTTTGTGATAAGTTTATGATAAGTTTATGATAAGTTTATGATAAGTTTATGACAAGTTTATGACAAGTTTACTCACTTGCTACAGCGCGGATAGTAATGACATCTCTGACATGGTGTGAGTATTTGAATCTGCAAGAAACTGAGAATTTTATGGTCGATACGTGGCTCCTTCTGAAGAGAACGATAAATTAAGTAAATAAAGTAAAAATTAAGTAAAGTATAAAGTATTGATAAAATAACACTTTAATCAAAATTATAATATCGGACTTTAAGTCATCAGTATTTCTGAACATTCAACATTTTTATGTGGGAATAAAAACTGACAATGCCCAAAATATCGGAATGGTGACTCTATCTTTGTCGGAAAAAATATTTTCAATTTTACGTAAAATTAGAAAGCCATATGAGTACTCAACATCATTGAAAATTTGTTTAACTGTTATAATGGCACTGCTGCAGGTAAAAATTTCATTGTTTACTTCTAAGTTATACTAATTTGCTTTATCCATATGGACAAAACATTTGATAAATCACAGAATGAGCATACAAATTGTTTAAGGAATTTATACTCTATAAATGTCACATACCTAGAACTAGTTACAGACACAACAGTTCCATACACAATGGTATCAACTCCGTGCGTATCCAAAACATTAGAGGGTGGCGGAACACACGTGCTATAAACACTCTTCATCACCATGGTGATAATCACCATCACAACTAGGATCATCCTCTCCATGTTATCGGGAAGTTATATACCGGAACCGTAATACTCACAACTATAACCACAACTACAGTACCTATTGTAAGAGGACATGTAAGTGAAGGGTGGTTACTGCAATGAGTTACCAAGGAGTTACCATGGAGACTAAAGTCACCAAGGAGGAAATAGAAAACTACAGCCGAACTGATGGAAGCAGGAATACTGGTTAATTAAAAGCACGTGGTAAACGTTTCCTTGATTCGCACAGAAACTGGAACAACTCCAATCACGGGTTTTCTGTAAAATATTTAAAGATAAACGTTAACAGCTCGAAAAATAAGAAAGACGATCAGGTAAACACGACCTTCAATGTGGATTTATTTTGAGGGACTGCATTATTTGAGGGAATAAGGTGTCAATTGAATCGATTATGAAACAATATCGGCTGTGGTATACTAAAGGTTTGAACGGGAATATGAAAATTTGGAAGCCATACAGGTATATTCAAATTAAGTGCGTTATAACACTAAGTGTATTTCAATTATATTGCCAGCCAACACTGGATAATACGCACAGGTATACCAAAACAAACGCCTCCTCCACAGTTAACGAGCCTAAATAATAAACCACAATAGAAAAAACAAGATCCACTTATCCTGTCCCAAACAAGAGAAACTAAACTGTGTAAATACTCCTTTATAAACTATAAATACTGATTCCAGCAGCTCATTTGTTGGTATTACAGCAGCATGGTACACCAGTAGTAGTCCCCCACCCTTATAACTAGTAGTAGTCATGTGACTAGTTATAATTACCTAGTATACTGTAGTTATGTTATCATGTGACTAGTTAGATTATAGCTAGTCACGCATCACCAGACGCATCATCAGACGTATTGAGACGTACGAACTGTCAAAGTTGTGGTATTAGGTTATTTCGGGAGTGGGGTAAACCTAAAAATGTATTATTTGTGCGGGATGTAAGTGGATGGAGTGATAGGTATGATGGGTAAAAAGGTGGGGAAGGGCGCTGACCTGACGCAGACATAACAGTAATAACGATTATTTGTTAGAACATTGTTCTCTCTCCTCTGAAACCTTCGTAAGATACCCCATTCAGTGGATTTAAATAATAAAATTCGCATTGGATTAGTGTTGGGACGAGGGGAACGATGGGGACGAGGGGACTGGGGAGGATGAATATGCTAATCTTGAGATTAAAAATCTATAATGTTAATAAGAATCAAGAGGGATATAGAGGATCAGTATAATAATGGTGCAACGATTTAGAATTGTCGGTTGAGATCAATAGAAATTATACCCTCTCCACGTTTTTCATTTTTACAGTGGCCCTTTCAACCACCCCCATTCGCTGAACTATATAGTCATACCCCGATTTACCATATTTCGATTTACCATGCCCCGACAGACCCGGTACTATGATTTACCGTGCTCCGAAAATCTATGTAAATCGGGGTTGCGCATAGCTTCACAAGTTAGATGAGTGAAGGAATTGTCTAATGAATAAAAAAGAGGGTTCAAAATACCATAAGAATAAAAATGAAGTTGATTAAATATACGGTAAAGGTAAAACCGTAAAGGTAAAACTAGAAGAAATTGATATTAATTTAATAATTGCAGACGAAGGCGTTTTTAATTTGAAATAAGATAATTTTATACGAAATGAAATGAGATGAAATAATGTGCTTCATGTATACTCATTACTGATTACTGATACTTAATTGCTAGGAACTAATATGTCAGAGCGGTTTTAGTTAGGAAGTATTCAGCAACAAACAAATAGTAGAAGTAGAACACAATTCACATGTTGAGATAATATAAATCAAGATAAGCAGAGAAAAATAAGGAAGTCGTTCTATATTGGATTATGCATTTTATCTGCTTTCATTGCAAAAGATTGGCAATTTATATTATAGATTTAATATTGAAAAATTTCATGAAGCAAACGTCAAATTAAGTCAAAATAAATTTTGTCACAACACGTGTTACTATTATTTGTTTTTTTGTTTTATCTTTGCATTAGTAATATATTTTTTGGTGTTCAGTAATGTTTTAAAATGTTTAGTAAATTTTGTTTTCGTAACCATATTTATTCAGGACGTTACAGAAGAAATTAATTTATTGTAGTTTGAGGATTCGTCACTCTCCTTACATCCAACATGATCAATGGCGTTTCTCTTGTCGCTAATATGGAATTAAACAGGAATTAAACTTCAAACAAACAGGAATTAAACATGAAATGACCAAAGAGAACACTAACGAACTCGTCTTGGTAATACAGCAATTCATAAAGACGATCAGAACTCTAAAAATCGAGAGAATGCTATAAAAATAAAATCTTAAACATTAACCGCGTTACAATTTCACGAGAAAAAAAATCGAATATAAGTCATGGAGATGAGTTAATGACGATGAGTATGTTATATACTCGTTTTAGCAGTTTTAGTACTAGACATTAAACAGTATTTTACCGTAGTATTTTAGGGCATTTATTAGTGTACGACATTTAGTACAGCAGGGTAGTGCAGAGAGTTTTAGGGAAACATAAAGTTTAACATCTCTGTTTTGGTTATCAAAGAGTTCAGTTTAACAACTCTGTTTTGGCTATAGGAGGATAGTTAAAGATATTGTTAAGGGCAGAGAGTTTTAGGGAAACAGAAAGTTTATTTTAACATCTCTGTTTTGGTTATCAGAGAGTTCAATTTAACATCTCTGTTTTGGCTATAGGAAGGATAGTTTGGGATTTGTTTAGGGATTGCTAAAACGAGTGGGAGATTGTTTATACAATCTAAGATATTTAAGAGTGGGCCTGTTGGATGGCAGGACACTTTTTGGTTTGAATACAGCAGACGTTTACCGTTAATGTTTATAGTTAAAGAACTATGCTATTCGAATTATTGACGTAGTATTTGAGGAACACTGAGATATTGTAATTACAATTCTTAACGGTTTATTCAAATTGAAGTATTTTCCCTTGTCACCTTGCAGAACAAAATATAAAGGAAAAGAGCCTTTTATCAACTGGAGCCTGATTAATCAATTGGTTAATACCCTCGAAGTGAATTGAGCATAGATGACTATGTGGCAGTGACAAGGAAGAAAAGGCTGCAGCAGCGGCTGAAGCAGAAGAGGAGTTGGAGAAAATCAAAGCTGAACGAGAGAAAATCAAAGCTGAACGAGAGAAAATCAGAACCGCACTGGAAGAGCTCAAAGTGCAGGAGAAAAAGATTAAAAAAGAGGTGTTCGATGTGGGCGATTCGGATTTGGAGGATAACGAGAGCGAGAATGATCATGACGGATCAGGGAGGATTTTGAATTCAAAATCATCCCGAGCAGCTAAATTGAAGAGGTTTGAAAAAGGAGAAGATTTTTCAATGTTCTGTGAGAGATTTCTCTCATACGTGAGAATAACCAGATTGAAGAGTCCATTACTGAATGAGCATTTGCTCCAAAGTGTGGACGATAAAACCTATTTGGTATTGAGGGCAGTCAAGCTGAGTGATAGGGAGAAAAAAGATCCTGAGCTTTTTTGTGCGCTCTACAAGCGAGCCATCTATGGCAACGAAGCTACAGCACTTAAAAACGAACTGCTTAACTGTCGTCAGCGGCAGGGAGAAGATATAGGTGAGTACGTTTTTCGACTGAGGGCGAAGTCGAATGTAGCTTACTTGGATGTAACAATAGCGGAAGACAATTGTCTTTTGGCTCTTTTACGAGGAGTAAGGAGCAAAAATGTGATGCAGCAGCTCAATGTAGCCAGCTTTGCTTCATTTGAGGAAGCAGTGAAATTGGCAGAGAAAATAGAAGGCGTTGAGAAGATGATGAATGAGAACGATAGAGAAATTCCCGTTTCTTCGATTATGAAACAAACGGCATTTTATGACGAGCCAACCGTTCACGACCCCTCATTTTCGAGGCAAAATAGTCGGGAGGAGCGAGAAGAAGCTACTTATCAGAGACCTACGGGGGATGGCAGATCGAGATCTTGGTCCGGTGAAAATAGGGACAAATGGCAAGGAGATAACAGAAACTCGTCAAGACCCAGACAAGTACATGATAGAGAGCGAGACGGGTGGCGGGGTTACAAGAACATAACGTGCTGGAATTGCAACAAGACCGGACATGTACGAGCTAACTGCTGGAGGAGAAGAGGATCCGGTGGAGAATTCAACCGACAGTACAATGGAAGTACAGGTGGGACAGGAGAAGAATGTGACCAGCATCACGAAGATGAAACCTTATAAAGGGGGAGAGCCACTCACAAAGATTCCTGGAGCGGCTGTGGGATTTCCCAACGGTTGTTCTGGGAAAAGTGAAGGCAACGTGAGTGAAGTGAGCGTGGTCACTGATAGTGATTCAGATGATTCAGATGATTCAGATGATTCAGATGATTCAGATGATTATCACATCATCACGAGGAGTCGGAAGAAGAAGAGGGATCAAGGAATTCCTTGTCCCTCATCTAAGATCAGTAAAAGTGGAGGAGAAGCGTCAGCACCAGTGAGTCTCTCAAGTTCTGGAAATGATGTACCACAAACTGAAGTTGGGAGCGGAGATCCGGCTATTGTGGTGGAAGAGGAGGAACGAGGATTGGATGACACGATAGTAAACTCATCAGTCAACGATGTACCGCGTCAGGAAGAAGATCCACAATTAAATCTAAGTGCAGACACCACCGAATCTTTTCACGATGCACTAGATTCAAGTCAATCTCAAAACATTGACTCTAGTCCGGAAGTAGCGGCTGCATCTGCTGGACCGAGCAGAGAGGGCAATATGCAATTCGGAGAAATAGATAGTAGAGGACTTACTCTTGCTGACATAAGTCGTGAAGAAGACGGCCGAGATCCGAGGAGAAAGTATGAACTCAGACCGAGAAAGAATAAACCGAAGTATGTTTAATCACAGGAGAAATGTCGGAAATGACTAAATTAAAGTCATATAGACTGGAACGGTAATTTGCGTGATATATTTGATAATTGTGCACAATTGTATTTTGTTAAAGTATTTACAGTAAAATCACGGTATCAGGGATTTGAAAAGAACAACCTTGTTGTTACCGTTTCGTTTTAACAGTCT